CATATTCTGAGCACCTGAGGGAGCTTATCAATCAACTGACAACCCAAAACTCTTAAAGTACCCTCAACTGCCAGCATACAGGAAAAAGCTAGAGGATAACAGTACCTTTCTTGGGCTAGGAACTTTAACCAGGAAAGTAAGACTTGGCAGTGGTGTTAAACGTGGGTCCTCCATTGATCATCTAAACCAAAGAGAGGGAGCCACAAACAGCAGAACACCAACACCCCCAGGGAAAACTTGACAGGCTTCAGAGCCCAATGTGATAGCCAAAATGGTGAAACACAGAAACAGAAGCCAAATGATAGAACAAGAGACCTCCACCGAAGATGAGATCAATGTGGAGCAGTTAGGCAAGTTAACAGAGCTAGAATTCAGAGCCATGATCTTGAGGAAGCTCAACAGCATGAGTAAGGACATAGAGATGCTAAACATAAACCAACTGGAAATTAAAAACCATCAAGAAATGATAAAAAATGGCATATCAGAAAAAACAAAAAACAAAAAACAAAAAACATTGGAAGGTCTAAAAAGCAAAGAGAGGAAGCTGAGGACCGGATCAGTTAACTAGAAGACAGGGTAGAAAAGAATCAACCAATCAGAAAACCAAAAGGAAATAACTATTAAAAAACAGGAAGACAGCTTAAAAGAACAGTGGGACAACTGGAAACGTAACAATAATTGCATAACAAGAGTCTCCGAGGAATAAGAAAATGAGCAAGGGTTAGAGAATATATTCAAAGAAATGGTGACAGAAAATTTCCCTAATTTGGTGAAGGAAGAAGGCATTCAAGTTCAAAAAGCACAGAGAGCCCCAAGTAAGAAGAACCCAAACAGGCCCACACCAAGACACATAGTAATTAAAATGCCAATAATTAAAGACAAAGAGAGAATTCTAAAGGCAGCAAGAGATAAGCAACAGGTGATCTACAAAGAAAACCCCATAAATCTCTCAGCTGACTTCTCACAAGAAACACTATAGGCCAGAAGGGAATGGCAGGAGGTAATCAAGGTCATGAAAAACAAGGAACTGAATCCAAGACTACCCTACCCAGCAAGGCTATCATTCATAATAGAAGGACAAATAAAGAGCTTCCCAGACAAAAAAAGGCTAAGGGAACACATTAGCACCAAACCAGCACTGCAAGAAATGATAAAAAGACTACTGTAATTAGTAGAAGAAATAGGAAGAAAAATAGAACCACACTAAACAAAAGTGGCAATAAACAAGTACATATCAATAATCACCTTAAATGTAAATGGATTGAATGCTCCGATAAAAAGACACAGAGTAGCTGATTGGATAGGAAAGCATAACTCATCTATATGTTGTTTACAAGAGACCCACCTGACAACAAAAGACTCACATAGGTTGAAAGTGAAGGGATGGAAAAAAATTTCCCAAGCAAATGGAAAGGAAAAAAAAGGCTGGAGTAGCAATACTCATATCTGATAAAATAGATTTCAAAATGAAGGCCATAACTAGAGACAAAGACGGCCACTACATAATATTGAAAGGATCTATCCAACAGAAAGATATAACCTTGATAAACATATATGCACCCAATATAGGAGTACCAAAATATATTAAAAATCTTCTGGAGGACTTCCAAGGAGAAATTGACAACAATACAATCACAGCAGGGGACTTCAACACCCCATTGACAGCACTGGAGAGAACCTCTGGACAAAAAAATTAGCAAGGAAACAGAGATTCTAAATGATTCACTAGACCAAATGGATTTAATAGATATTTACAGAAACTTAAAACACAAAACTACAGAATTCACATTCTTGTCAAGTGCACATGGGACATTCTCAAAGATAGACCACATAATAGGACACAAACTAAATCTCTACAAGTTCAAGAAGATTGAAATCATATCAAGCATCTTCTCAGATCACAATGGCATGAAAGTAGAAATCAAATGCAACAAGAACATGCAAAGACATTTGAAAACATGGGGGCTAAATAGCATGTTATTAAACAACGAATAGGTTACCGAGGAAATCAAGGAAGAAATTAAAAACTTCCTGGAGACCAATAAAAATGAACACACAACAACACAAAATCTATGGGATGCAGCAAAAGTAGTTCTGAGAGGGAACTTCATAGCACTAAAGGCCTACCTGAAAACAAGAAAAAATTCTAATTGACTGTCTAACCTCACAACTTAAAGAATTATTAAGCAAACAAAATGAAAACCCCAGAGCAAGTATAAGAAGAGAAAAAGTAAAGATCAGAGCAGAAATAAATGATATAGAGACCAAAAAAACAATTCAAAGGATCAATGAAACAAAGAGCTAGTGTTTTGAAAAGATAAACAAGATTGATGGACCCTTAGCTAGACTCACCACGAAACAAAGAGAGAGAACCCAAATACACAAAATCAGAAATGAAGGAGGAGAAGTAACAACCGACAACACAGAAATACAAAAGATCGTTAACAGCTACTATGAACAACAATATGGCAACAAATTCGTCAATCTAAGCGAAATGGACAAATTTCTAGAAACACACAGTCTCCCAAAACTTGACTGGGAAGAGATAGAAAACTTGAACAGACCAATAACAACTAAGGAAATTGAAGATGTAATCAAGACTCTCCCAAAAAACAAAACCCAAGGCCCAGATGGCTTCATGGGGGAATTTTACCGAACATTCAAAAAAAAAAAAAAAAAAATGACACCCATTCTCCTCAAACTATTTCAAAAAATTCAAGAAGAAGGAAGACTTTCAAACTCGTTCTATGAGACCAGCATAATTCTAATTCCAAAACCAGAAAAAGACACTACAAAGAAAGAAAAATATAGGCCAATATGCCTGATGAACATAGACACCAAAATCCTGAACAAAATACTAGCAAATCGAATCCAGCAATACATCAAAAAAATTATTCACCATGACCAAGTGGGATTCATTCCAGGAATGCAAGGCTGGTACAATATTCGCAAATCAATGAATATGATACTCCACATAAACAAAATAAAGAATAAAAATCACATGATCATATCAATAAATGCCAAAAAAGCCTTTGACAACATCCAGCATCCATTTAAGAAAAAAAAAATGCTCATCAATGTGGGAATAGAGGGGTCACATCTCGACATAATAAAGGCCGTATATGAAAGACCTACAGCCAACATCATACTCAATGGGCAGAAACTAAAAACATTTTCATTAAGCACAGGAACAAGACAGGGATGTCTACTTTCACCACTCTTATTTAACATTGTACTGGAAGTCTTTGCCACAGCTATCAGACATGAGGAAAAAATAAAAGGGATCCAAATTGGAAAGGAGGAAATGAAACGGTCATTATTTGCATATGACATATTATACATAGAACACCCTAAAGCCTCCATCAAAAATATACAAGACTTAATAAATAAATTTTGCAAAGTAGCAGGATAGAAAATTAACATCAAGAAATCGATGGCATTCATACACCCCAATAAGGAACTCACAGAAAGAGAAACTGAAAAAAAAACAATTCCATTTACCATCGCAACAAAAAAATTAAGATACCTAGGAATAAAATTAACCAAAGTAGTAAAGGACCTATTTGCAGAAAACTACAGGACATTGAAAAAGGAAATTGAGGAATATATAAAAAAGTGGAAGCACGTACCTTGTTCATGGATTGGAAGAATTAACATCATTAAAATGTCCATATTACCCAAAGCAATCTATAGATTCAATGCAATCCCCATCAAAATACCAAAGACATATTTCATAGAACTAGAACAAATACTTCAAAAGTTCATATGGAACCAAAAAAGACCCCGAATAGCCACAGCAATCTTGAAAAAGAAGAACAAAGTAGGTGGGATCACAATACCAGATATCAGGTTATACTACAAAGTGACTGTAACCAAAACAGCCTGGTACTGGCACAAGAACAGGCATATAGACCAGTGGAACAGAACTGAAAACCGAGAAATGGACCCAAGGCAATACGCTCAATTAATATTTGACAAAGGTGGCAAGAACATACAGTGGAGTAAGGACAGCCTCTTTAATAAATGGTGTTGGGAAAATTGGACAGCTACATGCAAAAAAATGAAACTAGACCATCAACTTACACCATACACAAAAATAAACTCGAAATGGATAAAAGACCGGTGAATCCATAAAAATTCTAGAAGAAAATGTAGGCAACAAAATTTTGGACATCATACGGAGCAGAATTTTCACTGATACATCACCTAAGGCAACAGAAATAAAGGAGAAAATGAACACATGGGACTACATCAAACTAAAAAGCTTCTGCACAGCAAAGGACACAATCATCAAAATGGAAAGGCAACCCAGTGTATAGGAGAACATCATTGCCAATGATGTATCAGATAAGGGGTTAATCTCCAATATATATAGAGTGCTCCACCAAAGGAAGACAAAGAACCCAATTAAAAAATGGGCAGAGGAGCTGAATAGACACCTCTCCAAACAGGACATACAAATGGCCAAAAGACATATGAAGAAATGCTCAACATCACTAATTATCAGAGAGATGCAAATTAAAACAACAATGAGGTATCACCTCACACCTGTCAGAATGGCCGCCATCAACAAATCATCAAACAACAAGTGTTGGTGAGGGTGTGGAGAAAAGGGAACTCTAATACACTGCTGGTGGGAATGCAGACTGGTGCAGCCGCTATGGAAAACAATATGGTGCTACCTCAAAAAATTAAAAATTGAACTTCCATTTGACCCAGTGATCCCACTGCTGGGAATATACCCTAAGAAGCCTGAAACACCAATCAGGAAGAATATATGTACCCCCATGTTCATAGCAGCACTATTTACAATAGCTAAGATCTGGAAACAGCCCAAGTGTCCACCAGTAGACGAATGGATAAAAAAGCTGTGGTACATATACACAATGGAGTACTATGCAGCGGTAAGAAAGAAAGATCTCTTATCCTTTGAGATGACATGGAGGGACCTGGAAAGTATCATCCTAAGTGAAAGAAGCCAAGCAGAAAAAGACAAATACCACATGATCTCACTTGTATACGGAATATAATGAACATAACAGTCTGAGGAATACAGTAGACCCAGACGCATGGAAGTAGGCACAGACTGACATCCCTCAGAAGAGGGGAAGGGGGGGGTGGGGGGTGGGAAGAGATAAACCACAGAACTTATATGCATGTATGCATGACCAATGGACATGGACTACTAAGCCGGGGACGGGGCGGAGGTGGGGTGGGGTTGGGGATGCCAATGGGGTAAAAAGGTAAAATATCTGTAACAAAAAAATAAATAAAAATTCATAAAAAAAAAGAATCAATGAAACAAACAGCAGGTTCCTTGAAAAGAAAAACAAGATTGATGGACCATTAGCTAGACTGACCAAGAAACAATGAGAGAAAAACCAAATACACATAATGAGAAATGAAAGAGTAGAAACAATAACTGACACCACAGAAATACAACAGATTGTTAACAAATATTATGAGCAATTATACGGGAACAAATTTGACAATCAAAGCAAAATGGACAAATTTCTAGAAACACATAGTCTCCCAAAGCTGAACTGGAAACAGAGATAAACCTTGAACAGACAAATAACAACAAAAGAAATTAAAGATTTAATCAAGACTTTCCCAGGAAACAAAATCCCAGGTCCAGTTGGCTTCACGGGGGAATTTTACCGAACATTCAAGGAAGAACTAATACCCATTCTTCTCAAACTATTTCAAAAAATTCAAGAAGAAGGAAGACTTCAAAACTCATTTTATGAAGCAAGCATAATTCTAATTCCAAAATCAGAACAAGACACTACAAAGAAAGAAAAATATAGGCCAATATCCCTGAAGAACATAGATGCTAAAATCCTGAACAAAATAGTAGCAAATCGAATCCAGCAATATATCAAAAAAATTATTCACCATGACCAAGTGGGATTCATCCCAGGGATGCAAACTGGTACAATATTCAAAAATCAATAAATGTTATAAACCACATAAACAAAATGAAAGATAAAAATCATATGATCATATCAACAGATGCTGAAAAAGCATTTGACAAAATCTAGCACGCTATTTTGATAAAAACGCTCAGCAGTCTGGGAATAAAGGGATAAGATCTCGGCACATTAAAGGCCTTATATGAAGGACCTGCAGCCTACATCATACTCAATGGGCAAAAACTAAAAGCATTTCCCTTAAGAACAGGAACAAGACAAGGATGCCCACTTTTTCCACTCTTATTTAACATAGTACTGGAAGTCTTAGCCACAGCAATTAGACAGGAAGAAAAAATAAATAAAAGGGATCCAAATTGGAAAGGAGGAAGTGAAACTGTCATTATTAGCATATGACATGATACTTTACATAGAAAACCCCAAAGACTCGATCAAAAATTTACTAGACTTAATAAATGAATTTGGCAAAGTAGCAGGATACAAAATTAACATCAAGAAATCGATGGCATTCTTATACACCAATGATGAACTCACAGAAAGAGAAACTAAGAAAACAATCCCATTCAGCATTGCAGCAAAAAAATTAAGATACCTAGGAATAAACTTAACCAAAGAAATAAAGGACCTATTCACCGAAAAGTACAGGTCAATGAAAAAAGAAATAGAGGAAGATATAAAAAAGTGGAAGCACATACCTTGTTCATGGATATGAGGAATTAATATCATTAAAATGTCCATACTACCCAAAGCAATCTATAGATTCAATGCAATCCCCATCAAAATACCAATGACATAATTCACAGAACTAGGGCAAATACTTCAAAAGTTCATATGGAACCAAAAAAGACACCGAATAGCCACAGAAATCTTGAAAAAGAAGAACAAAGTTGGAGGGATCACATTACCAGATATCAGGTTATACTACAGAGCCACTGTAATCAGAACAGCCTCGTGCACAAGAACAGGCAGATAGACCAGTGGAGCAGAATAGAGAACCTAGAAATAGACCCAAGATGATATGCTCAATTAATATTTGACAAAGGAGGCAAGAGCATTCAGTGGAATAAAGACAGCCTCTTCAATAAATGGTGTTGGGAAAATTAAACAGTAACATGCAAAAAAAAAAAAAAACTAGATCATCAACTTATACCATATACAAGAATAAACTCAAAATGGATAAAATACTTGAATGTGACTCATGAATCCATCAAAATCCTGGAAGAAAATGTAGGCAACAAATTGCAGACATCATATGCAGCAGAATTTTCACTGATACATCACCTAAGGCAATAGCAACAAAGGAGAAAATGAACACATGGAACTACATCAAATCCAATGCTTCTGCACTGCAAAAGAAACAACCACCAAAATGGAGGGAAACCCACTGTATGGGAGAGCATAACTGCCAATGATACATCAGATAAGGGGTTAATTTCCAATATATATAAAGTGCTCATACAGCTCAACAAAAGAAAGACAAGGAACCCAATTAAAAAATGGGCAGAGGAGCTGAATAGACACCTCTCCAAACAGGACATACAAATGGCCAAGAGACATAGGAAGAAATGCTCAACATCACGAATCATCAGAGAGATGCAAATTAAAACAACTGTGAGCTATCAACTCACACCTGTCAGAATGGCCACCATCAATAAATCATCAAACAAGTGTTGGCGAGGGTGTGGAGAAAAGGGGACTCTCGTACCCTGCTGGTAGGAATGCAGACTGATGCAGCCCCTATGGAAAACAATATGGTGTAACCTCAAAAAATTAACAATTGAACTGCCATTTGACCCAGTGATCCCACTTCTAGTAATATACTGAGAATCCTGAAACACCAATCAGAAAGAATATATGTACCCCCATGTTTGTAGCAGCACTATTTATAATAGCTAAGCTCTAGAAATAGCCCCAATGTTCATCAGTAGACAAATGGATACAAAAGCTGTGGTACATATACACATTGGAGTACTATGCAGCTGTAAGAAAGAAAGATCTCTTATCCTTTGAGACGACATGGAGGGACCTTGAAAGTATTATCGTAAGCGGAACAAGCCAAGCAGAGAAAGACAAATATCACATGATCTCACTTATTTGTGGAATATAATGAACATAATAATCTGAGGAACAGGGTATTCCCAGAGACGTGGACGTGGGGTACAGACTGACAATCCCCTGAAGAGGGGGTGGGGAAACTGATAAACCACAGAACTTATATGCATTTATGTATGAACAATGGACATGGACAACAAAGGTGGGAACAAGGTGGGTAGGGAGAATGTGGGGAGATTCAGTGGGGGAAAAAGGAGAAATATCTGTAACAAAAATAAATTAATTAATTTAGAAAAAAAGCTGTGGTACATATACACAATGGAGTACTATGCAGCTTTAAGAAAGAAAGATCTGTTATCCTTTGAGATTTCATGAGGGGACCTGGAGCGTATTATCCTAAGCGAAACAATCCAAACAGAGAAAGATAAAGATCACATGATCTCACTTATTTGTGAAATATAATGAACAGTCTGAGGAACGGGGTAGTCCCAGAGACATGGAAGTGGGGTTCAGACTGACAATACCCAGAAGAGCGAGTGGGGGAGAGAAATAAACCACAGAACTTATATGTATGTATGCATGAACAATGGACATGGACAACAAAGCTGGGGACAGGGTGGGGAGGGAGGTATCAGCGAGTGAAAAAGGAGAAACATCTGTATCAAAAATAAATAAATAAATTAATTTAAAACAATATGTTAAGCAACTTCTTGAGGATTTTTATAAGTAAACAAAGCAGGCAGATTTGAAGGTGAACCAAAGCAGCCCGTACATTGGTTAGTTTCTTTTTTTACAAGTATTTGTCCCAATGGCTTATAAATTTCCACAAGACATGAACTCATCCAAGGGCTGTGCATGCAAGGAAAGCAAAGCCTCATACAAAAGCTTTAAGAACTGAACTAAACTAAGGTTTAAACCACAGCTCAAGTCTGAGACTAACATCTGAGTGACAAGTGCATAAGACAGACCTGAAGCAGGACAACAAAGGCTTTGAAAACTGCACAAAGACTTAAACCACCACTCAAGTCTCACATTAACCCTTGAATGGTGCATACATAACACAGAACCAAAGGAACACAGCAAAGGCCCACAAATGGTGAGATAAAACTCGTGGTCTGAATCTAGCCAGGTTTATTACATGATAAACGAACAATTAAAAACAACAAAAACAATCACCAGTATCTAGAATAGAATCTAAAATTATTCAAGAACTAGCAAAATAAAGAAACTAAAAATAAAAATTTAACAAAAATTATGAAAGAGTTGGGGAGTACAAGGCCAATGTGTAATTGAGCTAAATCCTTACCTTTCATAGAAGGGATGCAAAACTAAAAGCTCCGTGAACCTAGAGAGGTGCTCATCAGAAAAACTAAAAACAGAAACCATGCAAACAGGCTAAACTTGGAGGTGTGACAGGAAATGCACTAGGATTACTCTGAATAACATAGTGTTCTGAACTCTTATATAATGTGAGTCCTCATTACTTTTAATATCGTATCACCTTTAAAAATATGTTTTAAGTTATTTTAGGGAGAGGGGAAGGGACAGGGAGAGAGAGAAAGAGAGAGGAGAGAGAGTAAGAGAGAGGAGAGAGAGAGAGAGAGAGAGGAGAGAGAGAGAGAGAGAGAGAGAGAAACATCGATGTGAGGGAGAAACATTGACTGTTTCCTCCTGCATGCGTCCCGACTGGGGATAGAACCAGCAGCTGGGTATGTGCTCTGACTGGGAGTAGAACTGGTGGCCTTTTGGTGTATGTGATGATGCTCAACTGAGGCACACCATCCAGGGCAATATCATATAATTTTTATATAAGGGAATTGGGACTCCAAGTCTGGACTGTGCCTCTAGTTTGCTTTTCCTCCTTTCAATATATCACTGAAATAAGAATGAACTCACAGTCATTAAAAGCCCTGGAAAGACTGGAAGTAGGAAAAGCATACCAATAGCAGACCAGAAATCCTAGTGATTCAAAGCAGCAGATATGGGAATGACTGAGCAATAAAGAAGAAATTGGAACCCAAAATGTCCCTGGGAGAGCTACAGGGAGGTGGGTGCACACCTGTGCAGGGAGGCTCTAAGAGAGAGGATACCTTAGCCCAGTAGGTGTGGGCTCTGGGAAAGGCACCTGGGAGTCATCTGGGATCAGCTGGGCCAGTGTCTGACTACAGCTTGAGCTCTGACACTAATTTTGACAGTGGTTGAAAAGCAGATTCAGATTCAGTCAATTTGAGGTAGCCCCAAGAGGCTGCATTTCTACTTAGAGCCTGGGCCTTGCCCATGCTGCTAGTCCATGAACCACACTGAATAGTAGCAACATTCTTTTTATTTTTTATTTTTTTAAATTTTTTCTTTTATCCTCACCCGAGGACATTTCTTCGTTTTTTTGTTCAGATACAGTGGGAGGGAGAGAGAGGAAGAGAGAGAGAGAAACATTGACGTGAAAGGGGCACATCGAGTGGCTGCCACCTGCACGACCAACCAGGGCCGGGGACAAACTGCAACCGAGGTACTTGCCCTTAGCGGGAACCGATTCTGGGTCTCTCTGGACCACAGGCCGACGCTCTAACCGCTGAGCCAAACCAGCCAGGGCAATAGTAACACCATACTACACAGACTTCTTTGGGATAGGAACACTGAATAGCCACTGTGAGTGGAAAAGAAAAAGAGGAAGACTAACATCTGAAGAGTGTCTGAATTCCCATTAGGAGCACAGGGCAGAAACAAACACACAAATAAACAGAAACAAACAGACAAGGAAAAAAATAGCGCCACCCAGGACTGAGATACAGCTCACTAAAAGCTACCACTATGAAGTAATGTCCTCTCCGAGTTTTATTTCTTTTGTGAATAAATAGATAATACAAAAGACAAAAGAGTTGAGTGAGAAGGAAGTACTGATAAGAGGAGGAATCTGAAAACAGGCAGCATCAAGTCAGCTTTGGAAGAGTCTGAGAGGAGATAAGAGAAAACAGAGACCAGTGTGGATGCTGTTCATTCACACTGTGAGGGCAGACTAAGATATGTGGGTACCTAGCCTGGTAGAGTTGAAGGTCATTAGCAAGTCTTTTTAGTCCACACCGACTCTAATAAACCAGGTAGGATCCTTTCCCTGAGGTTGAAGACAAGACTCCAAGTTTCAGAAGGGCCCACCATACAGCAAATAAAGAGGAAACATCACACCTGCATCTACTTCTGTTCTGATGAAAATGCAAATACCCAAGAGAAGGGGAAAGCTCTGAAGGCTCCACAAAGAAGGGAGAAGGCAGGAGGAAAGGTTTGGCATTTCCAAATAGCCAACCAGGATTCCAGAAAGTAGAGATGGGATCTAAGGAACAGCATAGCTTCACTCTGTCTAAACACCCACCAAGAACAGAGGGCCTGTAGAAGGGCAGTAGGTGAGGGAAATCCTGTGGATATCACAGCAACTTGTATCATCAGACATGAGTCATGTCCTTAAGGCTGGGGATCTGAGAAGAGCTCATGAGCACACCCTGAGGCAAAGCTCTCACTGTTCTATTGCATTCCCCCTGTCCTGTCCTGACTGTCTGGCATATGCTCACCTGGACAGTTCTGCATTATGGGTTCTCCATCTGCCCTCCTGGCCTCCTCTCCTTGTCCAAACCTGAAGATCACATCTGGTTTAGTCACCAGGTATCCTTTGGAGGTAAAATGACACAGGACTTTGTTATTAATGCTGGAGGCAGTCAAGAACCAAGGTCATCCTTGCAGAGTAAAGATGGTCTGGCCTTGGTGACTATCCCATGAGCATAGCTATTTGTCCCTCGGGCAGAACATTCACATAGAAGGAGAGAGCACAAACATACTGTGTAGGGTGAAAACAGGATTATGAATTCTTGACAGTGAGCCTCTGAATCTCATTCAGAGATTCAGTCACCCCTGAACATGCAGCAGCCGAGAGAGGGAGACATGAGTGGGGTGTTCTAGTCACACCATGGAGTGGTCCCTCACCCACAGAGACCAGGTGGCTGTAGTTCTCCAGCATGACATTCCTGTAGAGGTTCTTCTGAGTAAAGTCCAGTTGCTGCCACTCCTCCAAGGTGAAGTCCACAAACACGTCCCTGAAGGTCAATGATTCCTACAATAGCACATTCTTATTTAGCTCAGGGCCCTGGACATAATATGACTTATATAGAGTGCCTACTCTGTTCCTGTCCTAAGTCTTTTGATTCTCGCCCTAACCCAGAACCCTGACATATGAGGACAGTGAGGCACACACAGTATAAAGTTACTCACCCAAGGTCACACTTCTAGGAATTAAGAGATTAAAATTTATGCAGTCTGGTTCCCACACTTAAATTTTTAAACATGGCACTGCAATGCTTTTCTCTATATAACTGTTCTTATGCTCTTCACTATCCACAATTTGATATAGTACAGGATATAGAGTGTTTATGTAACAAAATTATTTTAAGCTTTGTGAAAAAACAGATCAAGTGTTAGAAATATTTTACCCTAGAAATTCATTCTTTCAACACACACTTATTGAATAGTAACCAAGCTGATAAGTTCTGAGGATGTAAAGATTAATAAAAACAAACACCTCCTGAACTGAAGGAGCTTCAGTATAGTAGAGGCAGAAGAACAACACTTAGAAACTCATATATGAGAGGGAAGGAGGGAGAGAGGGAGGGCTGCCTGCCCTCAGAAGGCAATGACAGAGAGGACTAGGAACAGAAGGGAGGAGGAAATCAATTATTGGGGCCAACACAGAAGAATTTGCAAAGAATACAGAACTAGAATAAACAGTTCTAAGCGCAGCTACTCAATTATGCCTGTGAATTAATAGAAAATACAAATTTGGTCTCTGCCTCTGATTCCTGGCACAGAGCTCCTAAAACCCATGTAAATTCCTAAGTGATAAGAGCACTAGGAGCATCTTTTATTCTAATGAGATGACTCTTGATTGGCTCCTGAATGGAGGCTGGTCACCAGAAAGATCAAGCTGTCCTCCAGAGAAAGGAGCAGGACTGGAAATGGAGTTAATAACTGATTGTACCTACGTGAGAAAGCCTTGAAGAAATTACTATAGTAAGGGATTCAGGGAGCTTCCATGTGGGTGAACATATCCACATACTGGGAGTGTGACACACCCCAACTCCACGAGGACAGAAGCTTCTATACTCAGGACCCTCTCAGACCTCACACTATGTATCTCTTCATCTGGCAGTTCATCTGTATCCATTATCATATCCTTTATATGTTTTACAGAGTTCTATGAGCCACTCTTGCAAATTAATCAAGATGGGGGGGGGGTTCATCACTGGAACCTCTGGGATCTATAGCTGGTTGGTCAGAAGCACAGGTATGGGGCAGCAGTTTTGTGTGACTGAGCCCTTAACTTGTGGATAGGTGGCTTAGTGTATAGGTGGCTAGTGTTAAAAGTGAGTTAGATTGTAGGCTACATAGTGACAGATAACTGCTGTTGTGGGAAAAAAAACTTGCACACATTTGTTGACCAGAAGTGTCAGAAGTGAAGTGTGTTCTATGTGAGTAATGAAAGAGAAACACAGGAGAAACACAAGAAAGAAAGAAACAGTAGGGAAGAACTGGGTTTACCCCTATACAAAAGGAGACTGAACTGGCATTTTCCTTTACAATGTCCAATGGTTCTAATCTTAGCTGTGTCTGGCCTGGTCAGTAGATTGAGGTAAAAAGGAAGATCTATGTTTGGCTTATCACCACCAAACAAAAACTCGCTTTTCTAAGTGCCCAGATTCCTAGCAGAGATCAATAACCCACTTATTTACACTTTGGATCCTACCCTGTCACACCAACACTTGGTGGTCTTGAATTCAAGAAGACATTTTGTACCCACAAGGCCCCAACAGGCATTACATGACACCAGTTTTACTCAGCTCTGCAGAAAGATATGAGACAGGAAGCAGGGTGTGCAGAAGGGCACTGACCCTCATATGTTGCCAGCAGGAGTTCTCAGAGCAGCCCACCTCCTCCTCTCACTCATCCCAAATGAGAGTTCAGGTGCTGAAGACCATGACCACACTGGAGAGGACAGGGGCCACCTGGCTTAGAAGCCCTAACCTGTCAAAATTCGGTGCACAGCCTTTGACCTAGAATTCTCACCTCTAGAAAGTTATCTTCCAGATCAGATACAAATACAAACTGAAATATATGTGGATATGTATTGCTACATTGTTTGTGGCATCAAAAGGCTAGAAATATCCTAAATGTACATCCCTGGCAGAAGGTAAATATATAATGGTATTTTCAACCAGTGGGATATCAATTAGCCATTTCGTAAATGGGGTACAACCTTTGGTGATTTTATACTCCAGGGAATATTTGTTAACATCTGTAAAATTTTTTCATTGTCATGACAAGGGGAGTAGGGTGGAGGGTGCTGACTTAATGAGGGTAGAGGCCAGTGGTGTTGCTGAATATCCTCCAATGCACACAAAAGCCTTCCACAACATAGCATTATCTGGCCTAAAATGTTAAGAGTGCTAATTTGAGAAAACCCGGGGCTAACCAAATACACAATGAAGTAGAATAATCATAAAAAGGAGCAGAATGCACTATAATATGTGAAAAAGAAATAAAAAATAAAAGGGATGCTTATATCGAGATAGACAGATATGCGTAACTGATCTCTGGAAGAATGTACAAAAATGAAGGATACAGGGAGAATTATTTTTCACCTTTTGTTAAACAAAACTTTAGTTTGAATTTTTACCATATGTACAAATTACTTAAAAAAATGCTCAATTTAATTTATTAATGCTCTATTTTGAATATATGTTTAGAATTCTAGTATGCATATTCTTAAGTGAAAATGGTCCATAATTGACATCGCAATATTTCCTTCAAATTTAGTTGAGTGGCTTCATAAAATGAATTGGATTTCCTTTCATTTTTCAAGAGCCTGGAAAAGATGAACATAGAAATGATCTGGTCTTTAACATTTTGTGAAAGTAATAATTAATCTGGGATTTGGGAGGGAAAAATTGAAGTGTGAATACCTTTGACTTAAAATTCCAACTTCCAGGTGTGTTCTTCATAAATACCAGCACTACTGGACAAATAGATATATAGAAAGTTGTTCAAGAGGCACCATTTATAATAGAAAAAAAAAAGCCTAAGTATCCATGAATAGAGAAAAGGTTAAATGATACATCCATATCACAAAATAGGAACTAAAATAATATTTATGTATTGATGAGGAACACCACTCAGAATATATAATCAAGTGGGAAAAGCAAGATGGGTATAGGAGCAGGATGGCATAGGTGCAAAAATACATACAACATTATATATGTATCTGTTTTTAGTTAATTAAAGTGACATGAATACATTCACACCATGTTATCACCAAACTGTTAACAGTGGGCATCTTGAGGAAGAACATGGTCCTGGGGAGAGAAGAAATGGGAATGTTTTGACTACTGTTTTTCATGAATATTAAAACATTAAGCATTAATTTACTTTCATTATTTTGAACATAATGAAAAAACAAAAGTGAACTGCAAGTGAAGAAATGGAAGAAGCAAGATGAGTCTATGTATTTAAACAATTTTCTCTGAAAAGGAAAAGAAAAAAGATGAGGTGAATTTCCCAGAGGAAGAAGCAGATGAGAAAAGCCTTTGTCTTTCTATCTTTTGTTATTCTTTGTGTGTGGGGGGGGGGAGGTGGGGGCGGGTGTGAGGGTAAGGATGGGAAAAACTTGAAATAGATTACAGGTTGAATAGAAAACAGCCAGAGCAAAAGGGATTAAAAGATTTTTCAAGGTGACATTATAGATTCCTCAAAGCTGCCTCAAGCTCACAGGAAACAAGGTAGGGGGTAAATGACGCACTCACCTGGGACATGGCCATCCTGGTCTGCTCTGGACAAAGGATGGAGATCTACAAAAGCAGAATTAGGAGAGTCAAGATCAGTGCATACAGCCATGAGACCATCATCATCAGCCTAACAAAGATCACCCTAACACCCTGGGTAGAATGATCTGGAAACAAGGCCTGGTAGCACCAGCCTATTCCCTTGAGATGTTGCTAAGCACATGTGGGTTTTATACATGGAATTGTTTCCCGATTCCTGTACAGATGTATAACTTGTGTTTAAAAACAAAGCTATTACTAACAGTACCTCCTTTCTCACAATAGTTCTATTCCTGGAAATTTCTCATAAAAAAGCAAACACAAATGAGCACAAAGCTGAAAGGAAGGATGTTAATGGTAGTTGTTTCCACCATTCAAACATTTGGAATCAACTAAACCTCTAGCAAAGGGGACTCCATAAAAACATAAGCACAAATGAGAATAACACATGAGCTTTAAAAATGGTGTGGAGATTCCAAAATGGTGGTGGAATGAATGGAAGTTACACAGACCATCTCCCAGGACCAAACTAGAATTACAACTAAAATAAAGACAAATTGTCGGGAAAAAGCAACAGGAAAGCAGCTTGCGAGGACCATAAACCAGGGACACTGAATCCATCCTGGTAGGATTGCAGAGGCGCAAGATGGGGGCTGAGAGCCCATGGACAGCAATGGTCTTAGCTGTGAGCAGCACCCTCGGGTTAAACTCCCAAGTGGCTCCACAGTTCAGGAAGGCAGGACAGATGCTAAAATAGCCACAGCCACTCACCTTGGGCTCTGGCAAAGGGAAGGTGGACAGGACTGGAACTGTGTGGGGACACTCGGGATTTGGAGGTGCTCAGAGCTTTTCCTGAGTTGAGGCCACACAGGATGGTGGCTATCTTACTCCTTCACAGGGCTCTGGGGAGACGCGGCAGCCCCTCCCTCATAGATTCAACTCCACCCAGTGGCCATTGAAATACAAATTGAGGCTCATTAACAACCAGCATCTGCCCCAACCTCAGGAAATCCCCTTACACTGAGCACCTGAGGGAGTTTTACATTCAACTGAGAACCCAAGGCTCTTCAAGTAACCACTACTGATAGACTCGAGGCAAAAAGTTAGAGAATAAAAGGAGCTGATCCATTCCTGGGCTTGGAACGCTACCCAAGAAAGTAAGACATGACAGTGGTGTTTAATGTGGGTCCTGCCATGCTCATCCAAACACAGTAGAGGGAGCCACAAACAGCAGAACACTAACACCCACAGTAAAACTTTGGCAGGCTCCAAAGCACACTGAGATATCCAAAATGGTAAAACAAATAAACAAATGCCAAATGAAAGAACAAGAGACCTCTACCGAAGATGAGATAGATGAGATAAATGAGGTGCAGTTAAGCAAGTTAACAGAGCTAGAATTCAGAGCTATGATCATGAGGAAGCTCAGCAGCATGAGTAAGGACAACAACACCATGAGTAAAGACATAGAAACATTGAAAATCAACCAATTGGAAATTAAAAACCACCAAGAAGTAATCAAGAATGAAATAGCAGAAATAAAGAACACATGGGAGGTCTAAACAGCAGACTAGAGAAAGCTGAGGATGGAATCAATGAATTAGAAGACAAAACCTTCCCTAATTTGGAGAAGGAAGAAGGCATTCAAGTTCAAGAAGCACAGAGAGCCCCAACTAAGAAGAACCCAAACAGGCCCACACCAAGACACAGTAATAAAAATACCTAAAATTAAAGACAAACAGAGAATCCTAAAAGCAGCAAGAGCTAAGCAACAGGTTACCTACAAAGAAAACCCCATAAGGATATCAGCTGACTTTTCAACAGAAACACTACAGGCCAGAAGGGAATGTCACGAAGTAATCAAGGTCTTGATAAAGAAAGAGATGAATCCAAGACTACTCTACACAGCAAGGCTATCATTCAAAATAGAAGGTCAAATAAAGTGCTTCCCAGACAAAAAAAAAAAAAAAGCTAAGGGAATACATTAGCACCAAACCAGCACTGCAAGAAATGTTAAAAGAACTGCTGTAATTAGTAGAAGAAATAGGAAGAAAAATAGAACCACACTAAACAAAAAATGGCAATAAATAAGTACATATCAATAATCATCTTAAATGTAAATGGATTGAATGCTCCGATAAAAAGACACAGAGTAGCTGATTGGTTAAGAAAGCATGACTCATATATATGTTTTTACAGGAGACCCACCTGACAACAAAAGACTCACATAGGTTGAAAGTGAAGGAATACAAAAATATCTTCCAAGCAAACAGAAAGCAAAAAAAGACTGGGGTGGCAATACTCATATATGATAAAATAGGTTTCAAAATGAAGGCCATAACTAGAGACCAAGAAGGCCACTACATAATATTGAAAGGATCTATCCAACAGGAAGCTATAACCTTCATAAACATATATGCACCCAATATAGAAGCAACAACATATATTAAAAATCTTCTGGAGGACTTCAAAGGAGAAATCAACAACAATACAATCATAGCAGGGGACTTCAACACCCCGCTGACATCACTAGATAGATCCTCTAGACAAAAAATTAGCAAGGAAAAAGAGACTCTAAATGAAGCACTAGACCAAATGGATTTAATAGATATTAACAGAGAATTACACAACAAAATACAGAATTCACATTCTTCTAAAGTGCACATGGGACATTCTCAAAGATAGACTACATGTTAGGACACAAACTAAGACACTACTAGTTCAAGAAGACTGAAATCGCCCTGGCCGGTTTGGCTCAGCGGTTAGAGCGTCCGCCTGCGGTCCGGAGAGACCCGGGTTCGGTTCCCGCTGAGGGCATGTACCTCGGTTGCAGTTTGTCCCCGGCCCTGGTTGGTCATGCGGGTGGCAGCCACTCGATGTGTCCCTTTCACATCGATGTTTCCCTCTCTCTCTCTTCCTCTCTCTCCCTCCCACTCTATCTGTACAAAAAATGGAAAAATGTCCTCGGGTGAGGATAAAAAAAAAAAGAAGAAGACTGAAATCATATCAAGCATCTTCTCAGATCATAATGGCATACAACTAGAAATCAACTGCAACAAGAAAATGCAAAGACATTTAAACATATAGAGGCTAAATAGTATGTTATTGAACAATGAATGGGTTACCATGGAGAACAAGGAAGAAATTAAAAACTTCCTGGAAACCAATGAAAATGAACACACAACAACACACATCTATGGGATGCAGCAAAAGCAGTTCTGAGAGGGAAGTTCATAGCACTACAAGCCTACCTCAAGAAACAAGAAAAATCTCTAATAGACTATCTAACCTAACAACTTAAAGAACTAGAAAGCAAACAGAAAGACAACCCGAGAGCAAGTAGAAAGAAGGAAATAGCAAAGATCAGAGCAGAAATAAACAACTTAGAGTCCAAAAAAACAACTCAAAGGATCAAGGAAACAAAGAGCTGGTTTTATTTTTAAAAAGATAAACAAGATTGATGGACCCTTAGCTAAACACACCAAGAAACAGAGAGAACCCAAATACATAAAATCAGAAATGAAAGAGAAGTAACAAGTGACACCACAGAAATACAAAAGATCGTTAACAACTACTATGAACAATTATATGGCAACAAATTCGACAATCTAAGCGAAATGGATAAAGTTTTAGAAACACATAGTATCCCAAAACTGGACCGGGAAGAGATAGAAAACTTGAACAGGTCAATAACAACTAAGGAAATTGAAGAGGTAATCAAGCCTCTCCCAGCAAACAAAAGTCCAGGCCCAGATGGTTTCACGGGGGAGTTTCACCGAACATTCGAAGAAGAACTAAACCCATTCTCCTCAAACTATTTCAAAAAATTCATGAAGAAGGAAGACTTCCAAACTTTCTATGAGGCCCACAAAATTCTAATTCAAAAACCAGAAAATGACACAACAAAGAAAGAAAACTACAGGCCAATATCTCTGATGAACATAGATGCCAAAATCCTGAATAAAATACTAGGAAATCGGATCCAGCAATACATCAGAAAAATTATTCACCATGACCAACTGGGCTTCATCCAAGTGATGCAAGGCTGGTACAATATTTGCAAATCAATAAATGTAACACACCACATAAATAAAATGAAGAATAAAAACCACATGATCATATTAATAGATGCTGAAAAAGCATTCGACAAAATCCAGCATCCATTTCTGATAAAAACGCTCAGCAATGTGGGAATAGAAGAATCATATCTCGACATAATAAAGGTCATATATGAAAGACCTACAGCCAACATCATACTCAATGGGCAAAAACTAAAAGCATTTCCCTTAAGAACAAGAACAAGACAGGGATGCCCACTTTCACCACTCTTATTTAACATAGTACTGGAAGTCTTAGCCACAGCAATTAAACATGAAGAAAGAATGAAAGAAATCCAAATTGGAAAGGAGGAAGTGAAACTGTCATTATTTGCAGAGGACATGATATTGTACATAGAAAACCATAAAGACTCCATGAAAAATATACTAGACTTAATAAATGAATTTGGCAAATTAGTAGGATACAAAATTAATGTTAAGAAATTGATGGGAATCTTATACACCAATGATAAACTCACAGAAAGAGAAACTAAAAAAACAATTTTATTTACCATCACGGCAAAAAAAATTAATATACCTAGGAATAAACCTAGGCAAAGAAGTAAAGGATCTATTTGCAGAAAATTACAGGACGTTGAAAAAAGAAATAGAGGAAGATATAAAAAAGTGGAAGCACATATCTTGTTCATGGATTAGAAGAATTAACATGATTAAAATGTCCATATTACTTAAAGCAACCTAGAGATTCAATGCAATCCTCATCACAATACCAGCGATATATATCAGAGAACTAGAACAAATACTTCAAAAGTTCATATGGAACCAGAAAAGACCCCGAATAGCCACAGTAATCTTGAAAAAAAGGACAAAGTAGGTGGGATCACAATACCAGATATCAGGTTATACTGCAAAGCTACTGTAATCAAAACATCCTGGTTC